CTTTTTCTTCTTGCTTTTTGGCCTTATTAACCTCCGCTATATGTTCTTTAAATCTAGTTGCTAAAGTTCTCTTGGTTTGTCCTACATATATTTTGTTACAATGATTACAGCTTATTTTATATACACCTGCTTTACCTAAAACATTAACTGGGTCTTTAGTGGATCCTAACAATGATTTCAACTGGTTATGTCTACTGGTGAAAACTAAATCTAATCCGAATTGTTTTAACTGTGGTCTTAGTTTACAAGTAATATCTTGATCAAATGGAACGGACACTCGTTTCAATGGTTCAGGTGCTGTGGTGAGGGTTGTGAATAATCTCCTTTGTAGAATTCTCGCTTTTTTATCGATGATTGCCTGGATTGTGGTCTCCTTGTATCCGTTGAGTCTTGCTGTTTCGAAGATGTACTGTAATTCCTTAACCTTTCCTGTATCGCTGAGTGGAAGAGTCTGCATTCGGTGAATCATGTGGTGAAAGGCGGCCATTTTCTGCTGAAACGAATGGTTGGAAGTATAGAGGATAACTCTTTTGGTGCTTGTTGGTTTCTTGTAAATTTCGTATTCAAGCGAGGAAGATGATGACGATTCCCTGACGACTAGAAGATCGAGAAATGCGAGTTTCCCGTCTTTTTCTACCTCGTGAGTGAATTTGATATCCTTATGAATTCTGTTGATCTCATCTAAAATTTGTGGAAGGGCTTCCCGTTTAACTACGCTGAAGATATCGTCAACAAACCTCCACCAACGGTTTGGTAATAGTCCTTTCTCCTTCAGGATTGTCACCAAATTGGCCATGAAAAGTTCACACAAGAAGGGGGATAGGGGGTTTCCCATTGGGGCTCCTTTCGTCTGCTTGTAGAAGTTACCTCGGAAAGAGAAGTAGTTCTCTTCCATACAAAGGCGGGTCAGCTTAAGGTACGTCCGAACCTTGTTTCTCCATGCTGCATCCTCTCGTTATGTTAATAGCCAGTCCTCCAAATGGTTGATCGCTTCCTTGACCGGTACGCTGGGAAAAAGAGCTGTGACGTCGAAAGATACCATAATCTCGTCCTCGTTGATGTCTCCTGAAGATTGTAGTTGCTGGGTGAACTCCTGGGTGTTACTAACTGCTTTACTCTGGAACTGATTCGGCATACTCTGGAACTCTTTGACTAGCCACTTCGCTAGTTTGTGGGTGGGGGAACCAACTGCAGACACGATCTCTCGCATTTCATTTCCTGGTTTGTGGACTTTGGGAAGACCTTTGATCCTGGGTAGAATGGGATTGGGTTCCCGTATACGACCTGCTTCATCTCCTAATATCGATTTGCACTCCTTCAGTGCTTTCTCCACGCGTTTCACTATGTTCTGTAAGGGGTCTACTCGAAGCTGTCTATACGGTCCGTTGTTAATCTTCGTTGTCATTTGATTATCGTAATCGTCCTTGTCCATGATAACAACCGCGTTTCCTTTGTCTGCCTTCACGTAGTATACTTATTGCATACGACTTGTGCTTGTATGGAATGCTTGGGTCGAATCGGCTAGCAAAATGAACACCACAACAAAGTACATAATCAACATAGGCAAACTTTTATTTCTGCATGTTCTGCCACATCATTATCTCCTACCTGTCTCTTATTCCCTGTCCTGGCCCCCTTTTCATCGCACTGTTGCGCAACCCCTCTTGACCTACTGTTCTTTTCCACTATAAATAATTTTCTTCAGGTGAGTACTCACACAATATCGACCGGGTGCACCCGAATCGCGGTTCCACTTCTGTCATCGATGCGCCGACACAACACACCACCAAACTTCACGCCGATATCCTTTAGTTGACTAGGGTACGCTTCGTGGTCGTCTTACTTCCTTCGTGAACAGCCGTTCTCGGCATTCAACCAGGACGAGCTCTCCTCGATACGAACGGTGCGGGTGAAAGCGAGGGAAACCAGTGTGTGCCTGAGGCTGCGACTTCGATGAAACCGGATCTGGCCGGTGTGACTACCGGAACTACGCTCTCCGAGTTTCTGTCGGTCCTACCAGCAACGTCGATCGCGTGGAATGCCGGACGAACGTCCGTTTCCTGATGCCGAGTGTTGCTACCGTAGACGTCAGCTCTCACCAGCGGATTCTCTCGGCATGTACCGAACCACGTCCGCAGCGTAATGATCTGCTCTCACTGAATGAACTCGTTGTGTGGCTCGGCCCTCCTACGATCCTCTTCCACGCAGCGAACGGTGACTAATCAAGTCTGAAAACAAAAGCCCTGAGGCGCATTGCCATATTAGCCCCAGGTTGGCGGCCATCCCATTTCGTAACTTACTTCTTTTCGAAGGCTTTGTCTTTTCACGCAGCGACTCGCTGCGGTGCTGATTGTCAATGTCAAGGTCAAATCTCGACGTGGAGGCCAATCTGTGTGAGCGTCAAACACGTCATTAGTTTCAACGTTACATCAATATTGCTGTAACCACCTTACCGGTTATTCCAATGGTATACCAGTGATTGCCGAATGTCGGATTCCTCCGTGCTTGGCTCCTAGTAGTCGCAATCCTCGATGTGTGAACCGCTCGTTCCCAGTGCGTGTATGCGTGCAGTCTGTGTGGTGCAATACTGTTCCGAAAAGCTTGGTTAGTTTGGCGTTTGTTCTAGTGTGCTGGACTATACCCACCTTTTACTCGTTGTGAAGCTCCGAAGGCTTTCTGAAAATGTCCACGTTCTGGTACAGTTTGCACGATGGCGACGCTTGCCAGCTCGCGTTGATTTTCCGTAGGATGGCTTTTCCGACGGTTATGTTAGCTCAGTTCAACTGGAAGCTATAGTTCGCCCAACGAGTATCAAACGCACTACCGTTTACGACCGAAACTACAGCCCGCACAATTTGATCACCTCCGAAACTATCGCCCTAACGATGACGATGCGCGTTTATGCCGTCCGCAACTGCAGGGAACCACACAACTAACTGAACCGGATTTTTTTTTCCACGCAAAATGTGCGCACTACTTGCACGGGTGTCTTTCTTCTTCTCGCTTGCTGTGGCTGGTCCGATCTCCTGCGAAGCCGTGTGTGTGTGCGTGTTCGGCGGAAGAGTTGTCAGCAGTCTCCATACTGTATGATGTTAGCAATATAATTTGCTTTGCTTGTCTGTTTTCAAGTGACGTGGCCCATGCAGCATCAATTTCATAGCTGCACGCTTCAATGCATTTACTCAACGTGTGACAAAGTTTGCTCTTTCTATCGGCAAAATAGTACTCAAAATTAATACGTAACATACTGCTTTACTTTTTAGCTCCTTTACAATCCGAATTTCTTTTTCGTTGGCGCGTCCGTCCTGTCCGTCCTTGATTATGTTCGATGTAATAGTCCTAACCGTATTCTGTGATGTTGTTGGAAGCGTCTTGGTAATCGCTGTTTCTACGTCAATGATGATCTGCTCCACGTCTGGCTTGGTTGTAACCGCGTATCCTAGCCCCTTGTTGAGGTGTGTCAATTGTTGCGGTCGTCGATCGGTTGACAACCAACCCATCAATGGAGTGAACCCTCGGTGTCGTGGTGATGGTTGATGGGATCTGCTCACCCGTTCGGTGTGTCGTCCGTCTCCGTTGAGACTCCTGCCGTAGTCTGTTTAGCTTCCTATCCTGCAGCTTCCGCTTCCTATCCGATTCGCACTCCTCTGCTACCTTGGCCCTTGACAGAAACTCCTGGAATTTAATTGGATACTCCTTGGTCAATTTGAGATGTAGATAATAACATTCCAAAACCTTCATGTCCAGTTTGCTATATAGCCGTCTGATACTATCCTTGATGAACTCTGCTTCCATCCTCTTTACTACGCTGGGTGGGGTGGGTGTCCGTACCTTAATCCTATGGCTTATAGGTATAACCTTATATTTTTGGCATTTCTTCAGAAATGCTACGTCCTTGTGAAGCGATGCGATGGTTTTCTTCAATCCGATGAATTTATTTGGCTCCGACGGCTTGGTTGCCATGATGAATCCTGATGAATGTGGGCGTCTTAGTGGAATACCTGTATAATGAGAGAGAGAAGGATTAGTATTTTCCATTTAATTCCACTACTTTATTTGCTTATCCTTGGCAGATACGCGTATTTCGTCTACAATGTGCAGACTTCTTCAGTGTCTTGTACTAATACTCGACTCACATCTTGAAATTATAGGAGCAACCAAGGTAGGCTACATAATTTGATAGACTTACTAGACCATTCCAAGGGATATAGAAACCATGTGACATAAAGCCCACAGTGGTTCAATGTTGAAATATGGAGAGTTGTCTGTTCATACGTTGACGACTAATGTAATTAAATGGTATATGTACTACACTCTCCTTTCAATTTTTCCGTTAAATTTTCTACATGGAACACTTCATTCGTCCACTTCAAATCGAACAACATTTCAGTGCCAACATTTCAATTAGGCAAAATTGCTTTTGTAAACAACGACTTCAACCGCTAATTTCCCGCAAATAGAAGCTCACTCCTGCAAATTAACGCAGCCAGCTGGTAAAGGATTCATAATGCAGTTAATATGTATACGTGAACTTTTATTCGCGGGAAATCAACGACTAAACCCATTGTTTACAAAGGCAATTTCGCTCTTTCGAAATGTTGGCACTGATTTGATACCTATCAGCCCGCATTACCGATACATATTTACTTTAACACGACATGATTAATTACTCGCTGAGAAAACCATCTCCATCGACCCCCGTCGCAGCCATTAAGGAATTAAAACAAGTGGGTGTGCCAGTTTCCAGCTACGTTTTGGTCCCATATCTACCCAACCACGGCAGCGATTCAGTTCCATTTCCACACCCACTCCTGTCGGATCGGACAATGTTAGGTTTCAAAGCTCCAAGTGATGTGTGGCAAGTTATAGCTCCTTGTGAAGTGGTGTGCAGGTGCTTGGGACTGATACCGGTGTTTGCTGGACAGGGCTTACGTGCGTGGAAAAGATGGGCGAATTTTGTGCATTTGATATTCACCGTGGCCTTGATCTGCAGAAGCATCATGTACTGCATACCGATTGATCTGAGTAAGCAAGAAAGTTCAGCAGTGATCAATCGGAGTGAGTTTATAACCATACTAATGTTCTACATTCAGCCGGTTTTCGGAATCACGTGCAGTCGGCTGGTGGCCGGAAAGATTCATCAAATACTGACAACCATCGAAGCGGTGGATAGTAAGGTAATTCAGTTCTATCGGCTGAAATCGGCTGAATGTTGACAAAGCTTTCCTCAGCAGATATTGATACTTGGTGTCCAGAAAGCTTACGCCAAAGAAAGGAACATCATTTTTGGACTCACTGCATCTACCTTCACCGGGTTTTTCCTTTTGATTATTATGTATTCGGATTATCCTATGGCAAAGGATGTCGAATACACTCTGGAGACAACGTTCTTTCAACTACACTACTCCATGGCTTGCGTTTATGGCACAAGTGTTTCGTTCCTTACGTTGAAACGATTTTGCATGCTCAATGAAGCGATCAGGTAGAAACTTCCGCTACCGTAAGACGGGGTAACATGGGGGCAAAATTTAAAAATGTTGATGCAAATATCTTGAATATGCAGGAAATGATTACTAGATAATGTTTCTTCAACTCCTGGAGTAATGTGTAGATAACATTGACCAGTTTTCAGAGTTGGTTGGAAATGCTATCTAACATAAAGCTTTAGTTTGATAATTTATTAGCTAGAGAAAGGTCTGAAGAGGGTAGGTTGATAGTTTCGTTTGAGTACGGCAGTATGAAAATTGAATAGAAGTTGAAAATGAGGGAAGGGCCATTAATACGCCAATACTAGTCAAATGCACACTTCTTTGCGTAACTCGTAAAATGTACAAGGAGATTTGAAGTATTTCTTCAAAAAACAGGCAAAACAGTTAAGCGTCATAAATAGTAGCAAACGTTTGTTTTAAAAAATATCAATACTAGGTTTGTTCCGATGCGTTAGTTCATAAGCTACAACATAAATCCTATTAGAGCGCATTGTATGAATATTTACGCTCATTGTTCTTAAAACAAAAGAAGCGCTCGTAGCGCATCCCCTTTTTCTACGTTTATCCGTAGGAAGAAGAAAAGCTAATGGAGTTTCAATGCGTTAGGACGGAATTGAAACTCGTAGAACGAATTTAGAATCAAGAAGCAGTATTAGAATTTAAACAATATCTCAACAATTTGTGATTCTTTATCAAATCCAACGTTACGTATGGAAAGGTAAATAAATTTAGCAATCATCTTTGACAAAAATATTCCATTCTTTGTTCAAACCCGTTAAAAAAAGAGAGGTTAAGTGAGTGTTTAGTAGGACAGAAATTAGATCAAACATCCTAATATATCACTTGTTTAAAAAAAAAAATCCTTGCAAAAATGTGGATGTTGTAAGGCAGGGAATGAAGTTTTTGATATTTCGGCCCAATGTCACCACCACTTACGGTACTGATAAAGTGACAAACCTAGAGAGCTAAAGATTCATAGTTTTCTTTCAGTAAGCACTTTCCTTCCAGTCGGACGTTGGATGCTGATTTGTCTGTACCGACAGAACAAGTAAAGCCGGCAAGAAACAGGCAACTTTTCATGCTGAAACGGATCAAAATCTTACTGGATAAGCTGATTGGAACGATCGATTTGATTAATCATTGCTTCGCTATACAGGTAAGATTACTCTGATGATGTTCCTCACTCACTTACTCATGTATTCTGAGCACCTCCGGTGGTGCACAGGACCATCGTGCAATATAACCATCCTGGTTGGCTGCTTGCTATCACATTGACCTGGGTCATGCTCAAATTGTTGTTGAATTGCTTGATTTACTCGTTGGTGGTTTCGCCGAATACACCGTTTGAAAAATTCATGTAAATTTCTGCGAGATATAGCGCACATAAAATTAACGCTAGATATATCGTGATATTTCGTGTAAATTTTAGTGCAATATCGCGTAAATTAACAATATTGTATGCAAGCTTGTAAACTATTTCACTGTTTATGCCAAGTGTAGCTCAAAATTAAACGAAGGGAGATTTTACGCGATAGTTAAAATTCAGAATTTTTTTTTGTGTACAGACTAATCATCACTCTCTGCTTCATATCTACAATACATATAAAATAAATCCTATCAACACTGTAAACCGTATTCAATTCACTCTTAACTTGCTGCTCAATTATTTCGACATCGAGTAAGTCCGTTTTCACTGATAAGCTCAGCAGTGCGGACCTGTTCTCACGGTTGATCAATCAGCACGTCAAACCTGAAACCAGTAAAAGAATCATGGTCAGTTGTATCCAAGTAGTCAAAAATATCTCAAAATGACACAATGACAAGCGATCAACGAGCCAAATGATAACGCCAAAGACAAACAGACCTAACTCTTTGAAAAAGTGTTTCTTGAAAACATAGTATCTCAAAACATCCCAAGTAGCAAATCTAGAGCTGCTTGGCTATATTCAAAATTTATAAAGGTTTTATTGCAGCTGCAACCATTACCTACAGCTTTATGACGGTCATATACAATGCAAGTCATGAAACATTCTTATAGCTATCTACAAAACCCCTATAAAGCTAATTAAAAAACCAACTGATGCTTATGCTATTTTCACTTATGAAAGGTTTTATGATTGCTTTGAAGTATACAAAAAAGTAATATAAATTGCCCTTATAAAACCAAAAAATAAATCCTATCGTTGCTTTATAAGTAAGCGCAATAAAACTAGTTGGCCATGAAACAGTTATTTTAAAACAATTATAAGCATTCAGTTGCAACTTGTCAGAAATGTAAATAGGTGGTTTATTTTTACAACATAGAAAAGAATAAAAACTTTCCGGTACTTCCAAGCGGAGCGCAAAGAAAATCAACAAAATTGTTAGCATGAGCATGAAAACATTTCGTGTATACGTATACGCGACGTAGTGTGCGTAAGAAAAACGTCAGCAATCTCCATGATTCTTCCGTTCTCGCTCGCATATACATGGGGTGACACGGTCGAATCTTGGTCGAAATACATGGAATGGTGACAGTCCTAGGTTGAAATCACGCATAACTTTTCATAAAGGTTAATGTACCATTCAAAACTTTTCTAAATGTTTTTAAAATTCATCGGTTGCACCCGTAGAATAGGAATATACATTTGCCCTCAAATAAAAAAATTAATTCAAGCTGAAAATTGCATAAGGTCCTAAGTAATATTGACAGATTCGCTTCGTCAACTTTCTCTTTGCATCCCCACGGTCATGTAAAGACATTCCCAGGTATTTTCAGCACATAAATCGATAAAAGAAGCTTTTATCTAGCATCCAATACGACAAACACATCAAGAAACGGTTCTGTGAATAAGTTATTAACGAAAGAGAAAGTCGACGAAGAGAATCGATCAATGTTACTTAGGACCTAATGCAAAGTTCAGCTTGAATTGCACTTGTAAAAAAAATAGTTCTCGTAATAAAATCATGCATTATCCTTTTCTGTTCTGCTTTCATCCCATGCACACTGGGCCAGGAATGCAACCTAGCGGAGCAAAATTAATAACTCCGAAACGAAGCAATTTTTTTTCTGTTATTTCACATAACTCGAAAACAGTAGGCTGTGAAGTTTTAACGTATTAAGAAAAGTTGTTTATTTTATCAAGATAACCAACTTTGACAAAGTCGTGAAGTCTTCGAAACACAAATTCAATGCATTAAAAAAAATTATAGAAAAAAAAAACATGTTCCACTAAAATGAAGAAATCTACAAAACACCAAAATATACCTCTCTCAAATTTTGATATTTTGTTTATCGAGTATTGCTTAATTTTTGCTGAAAATGTCAAAATTGTGTTTTTTTTTCTCGTTTTTTCAACAATGTCTTTGAAATTTGAAGCTTAATCCAGTATGTTTCTTCACAAAAGCTATTTATTTAATGTATTTTCATAAGAGAAAAATATAACATTATAAAGCTGTAAGCAAAAAAACCGAAACAAAAAAAAAACCATATTTTCAAGATTTTTTTCTTTAACTCCATATAACTTGGAACCAGTAGACTGTGGAAATTTTACGTCTTTGAAAGACCTGTTCATTTTGTCAAGATAAACAACTTTGCCCAAGATATTAAGTTTCCAAAACGTCAGAGAAAGAAGTTAGATTGTGACACCATCTTTGCGGAAGAGTTTTGAACTATTTGTTTATGTCAATAGATGGTCCTTATTATGATGAGAAATTTTGCCGAAGACACCAAGTCGCGGAAATGCTTCGTTTCGGAGTTATTAATTTTGCTCCACTAGGTTGCATTCCTGACCCAGTGTGCAATGTAAGCATTAGACATTTTAAGAAATTGCGCTTGGTGTTTTTCTTGCCTGCTGTCTTCTGTCGCCATATTGTCATTATGGAAATGCCATTAGCCTTGGAATAAAATCCAAGAAATTTCAATAAAATAATGGCTAAATAAGAGATCCGAAATGATTTCCAGTGTGCATTGGTATGAAGTTATGTATTGAGATCTATTTTCTGTAAAATTAAGGTGATTCCATCAAATTCATTTAATTTCTGAAACAATCTTTTTTGTTAACTTGAATTATTTTGGAGGCGCATTTATTTAACGCTCATATTATCTCAATATACACGATAACATTTCAAGCGCATATGTTTTGGAACTTCTAAAAAGTAATATATTTTCTTTAAGATTTTCACTAATGTCGCCATGAAACAAAATTGATTGCATGGTGATCTTGACACCAACACTCAAACCTATTTTAACTGCTAAAGATTTCCATTTGGTTTCAGCAGAACAGAACAACAACAAGCTAATTTATGGCGGTTGCTTTGAAGCCAATACAAATTAAATTGGCTTTATAACTGATTTTCACCAAAGCGTCATAAAACTGCTTGGATACAATATTACTCTTATAGAGGCTATGAGAACCTTTTGTAGAGTATGAGGCTTCCTGACAAAAGGTTTTAAGACAGCTTTATTGTGATTCTCAAACATGCTTTATAAACCTTATCAAGAGTGGTCCACTAAGCTGTATGACGATCTTATAGCGGTTATCAAAAGGTTGTGCTGGAGCTATTAATTTTATTGGCGGTTTTATGAAATTGATCTCAATAACCACTAATAGAGTGCAATAAAACAAGAAATGCTACTTGGGATAGGACCTCAGTAACGACATCTCTGAGGCTTCTCGCTGAAAACAAGCTTTTTAGTTAACTTGCAAACAATATTGCATAAAAGTTCTATAGAATGTATAGAAACTTCAAAGTGATCCAATGCAAGCGCTGCGGAGAGTATTTTTTTTCTTGATTTATTTTCCGTCGATGTTATTTTCCGTGCTGAGCACCAATGCTACCGACGCCAGGGAGGCAGCTCCTACACCTGGACCTTACCTATTGACCCATCAACTCATGAACCGGGGACCAACGGCTTTACTTCCCTTCCAAAGGAAGGCGTGATCAGAGATGTTATGCCTCAGAACATCCCGGCGGCGCCGACTGGGTTTGAAACCAGGCCTGCTGGGGTGCGAGGTAATCACGCTTACCACTACACCACCGGAGAGTAGTTCGCGGAACTTATAATATTCAAAGCAACCGTTAAATATGTGAACGAAGATACACAATGATTTGTTACGTCTGTTTGCCTGTGATAACGCTACGCCATAAATGGACATCAATAATGATAATATAATGAAGTAATGAAATTGGGTTGTTAGTGGAATGCTTAAATAAAACAGCAAAAAAAGGTTTATCTTGCATTGAATTCGAGTTTTTGATAAGTCTTTAGTGGGAATGACACTGATGAAGACTGCACATTGAAGTCGAAATACGTATCTGTCATGGATACCAAAATTATTTAAGTAGTATTAAATGGAAGATAACCCTTTTTTGCTGTTTTATTTAGCAATCTGCTAACAACCCAATGTCATTACTTCATCTGAAAATTAAAGTAAATCTTATTCATAGTGTATTGTTTACATCTGTCAAATTTCATAGTTATTCATAAAGTCGTTCATCGAAACAAGAAATAGTCCGTAAAAAAATTTTGATTGCAAGTCAAAATCCAGAGGCGTCCCACCGATGGATCGCTAAAAAGCTTGGAATGGCAAATACAACTGTGTCTCGTGTGATAAGAACCTTCAAGGAGCGTCTGAGTGCCCGAAGGAAAGAAGAAAGTGGCCGTAAAAGTGGTCCAGTAAAATGGTGGACAGTAAAATGGCCAGGAAAGTGGTGCAACAGTTCAAGAACCGTCCAAACATGTCAATCCGAGATATCACACAGAAGTCCAAGGTGTCAGTCGGTTCTGTGCAGAAAACCATGAAGTGTGCTGGGCTACATGTTTACAAGGTGCAAAAACCCCAAACCGGAATGAGAAACAAAACATCACTGCGATACTTTTTCGGACCCTACCCGAGGGCATCCTGTTTGGATATCGATTTGGAAAATTCCTCTTCGATCCTTCAGATTCGTTTTGCTTTCAAATCGATTTTGAGAAACGTTTCACTGCCGTATAAACACATAAGAAAAAGGCAATCCTTTGATCCAACTTCTGATGAAATTTATTTGAGCAATCAATTTGATATGCTCACGGGTGATAATAATGATCCATCATCCAGATAAAATTCCGCTAAACTTTCCCGGCTTAATACCAAGAAGGAAAAGGTTCCCCCTGTTGTGATAACCACTTCCGAT